GATGAAATGCAACACTAAAAGCTGTTTATATGAGACTTTTATATGCTAGAATTTGACATATTCACAGAAAACCTGTTTTCGTATTTTTGGAATTTTCTCATTATTTTCGGTCTAAAAGCTGAATGAAATTAGCATCATTTGATGCGGCTTTCTTAGATATTTAAGAATGTATTAGGAAGTTGGATGTGACAACGACAGTTTTCATTGTTAAATTTGATAAAAACGTTCAAAGGACGTCAAATCAAATCAAGTTTGAGCACGAAAATACCACAGCACGATTTCAAATTAAATGGCCGCAATTACTGCTGCTATAGTACAATACTGAGACTAAATCTACAGGCGGTGACGTCGGATAGGATACCCTCTCATTTTTCCATACCCTCATTTTTTTTTCTCTTTTGCAAAACGCGTTTAGCATCAAACCATGGTCGTTTTGGATACCGTTTGGTTGATAATAACACTCTAGCTTCTGATAACACTGTATTGCACTGCCAGAAAGACTTGTTACTGCTTCTTTGAAGTGAAATATAGTAGGTACCATGCAATAACGAGCACTAGAAGACGTAGAATTAGAACTAATCGGATTTGTTTATTAGGTTTCGCTAATTTTTTTTTTGACTGTTTGATGTGGGTGCTGATTTATTACTTCTCTGCTATCTCTGCTGTCTGCTTCTTTGGTTTATTATGTCCGGTAGCTGCTTCTTTGGTGTGTATCTCTGGCAGTTGCTTCTTTAATCTTTGCCTGGTCTCTGGTATCGCTCGTTGTTCGGTTTTTCTAAACTGCTGTTATTGCTACTGGTGTTGCTGCTGCTGCTGCTGCTAATATGGTCCTTCCTGGTCTACTGTGTTTGCTGTATACTTGTTCTCTGGTCTCTCTCTGTTGATTGCCTGTACTCTCCTGGTCTGTCTGTGGTGGTGATAAGTGGTAACTTCTTTGGTTTTTGTCTGCTCTCTGCTGATGGCGTTCATTCTTTAGTTTTTCTATGGTGCTGCTGCTGCTGCTGCTGCTAATATGGTCTGTTCTGGTCTACTGTATCTGGTGCCTGCTCGTTCTCTGGTCTATCTTTGATGATTGCTTATATTCTTCTGGTCTATCCGTGGCTGTGGTAAGTGGTAAGTATCCTTTTTTCTTGTGGTCGCAATGATATAAAGCTTCTCTGGACGTTTGTATTATTGCTTCCTTTCTCGTGATAATGCATTCGTAATGTTTGCTTTGTTTCCCTTTTTTTTCTTTTGTTGGCTGTGATATGATCAGCTCAACAGGTGCTTGCAATGTTGTTGCTTCTTATGTATGAACAACAAGCATGATGTGCTACTACTATATATCTGTATTGCCGTTGTAATACTACTTTGTTATATGGCCGTGGGTTGTTATTTGTGTTGCCTCTGTGGCTTCATCACATGAAACAACATTAGTCACAATGTTGTATTGCATACTTATAATACTGCTAATGCTCTTGCAATTGTATGTGTTTCTGTTGCTTTACATCCGACTATTACCATGCACTTTGCTCATGTAAGCATTTTTGTTGCAACAACAATGAGTTGTTTGGAGCATTTTTATGTTATATTTGTTGTTATGCTTTTCTTTTGACTCACTTTTTTGTGTGAGTGTTCCTTTTTTGCTTACGTACTACTATACTCTTATAGTAGTATGTTCTTTTCTTCTTTCTTTTATTGTTTTTGTGGAATTTGAGGCTTGATAGACTAAAATTCACGGAAAAAAAAGAATAAAAAACAGTAATGTCAACTTGATAAAGGTATATTTTATTATCAAACTGACAGGTGTAAAGTAAACTGAAGTCTCTCTACTGGCCAGGTAGATGGTCCTTCTTATATACTATAACAATGGATAAAAGTTCTATTAATTAGATTGACAAATAAGTCAACTCAGATCAACTAATGTCTAATCATGCCAAAAGACAACTCCAGCAAGCTAATCATGATTTAGCTCTGTCTGGATGAATAATTAGACTCTCATCCGAAGTACCCTGATCTATCCTTTCCATAAGGATAATTAATATCGATCTAGTAGCATGTATCCGATAGGTACAGTCTTCTTAGTCTATATTAATAGTACATATCTGAGTGTATATCGCTAAGCATACATCTTTAGCATGTATCTGGATATATGGCATGTCTATAGCATATCGTATGCATGTCTATAGCATGTCTCATATATAGTACAAGTCTGTAGTACATAAAGTATCTGTAGCTAGTATCACGGATATAAGCATGTGTCTTATAGCGTGGATCATGAAGTGCACATCTGAAGCAACAAGCTCATATTGCATTAATCTTGGTGCCTATCCAGATATGGTAAACATCCGTAGTCAATGTCGGAATACAAGTATAAGTCTATAGTGCCATCCATGTCCGTGGTGCCATCTATAGCCTATATCTTATATAGTATGAATCTTATAGTACTAGCGTATCTGAAGTCCATATCTTCTCATGATCATAGTATAAATCGATATCGTACATCTAATCCAGTGTACATACAGTTTATATCTAAATCTGGTAACTGGATGAACTGTCGGAATGCAGATCATAGTGGATGTATTCCACAGTTTTTATGTTTCTTTGAAGCATATCTTTTTTTACGTTGTGGTGGATGTGCCTATCGCTGAAGCTCAACAAGACTTTATCCGAGACTAGGAGATGGATAGGCTGCCTCCACTTGGTTATCGCTACTTACTTTAGTGATGATTGAGGGTCTCAACGCCAGAATCTAAAGCTAGGTGATGTAAGTAAGGCATGCTCTAGCACCTGAGGGAAATTTGATGACAGTAACAGCTATATTGCTATATATAGCTGAGCTTAAAATTTTGCCTCACATCAAAACAGGGGGAAACCCTCGCAAAATTTTTCTTAGGTCAGCGGAGTTTTCAAGCAATCTGATTGGCTCAGAGGTTGAAACAACGAAGGGTTATAGCTAGTTGATTTTCTGTTGATCTGCCATTGATCATGATTTTGTCTTTGTAATAATAAAAGGGTATCCAAACAGATACAATTTACATTCTTCGTTATTTAAAAGTATAAGATAAAGTACAGTAATTTGATCTGGCATTCATTACACAGTTTGATGAGATAATTAATAGAAATCAAGCTTCATTGACATCTTTCTCATCATCATCTTCTTTGATAGGAGCTAATTTACCATGTTTGTCGTTTAATTTATGTTGTGGTGAAATTATACAATAAATAGTATAAGTGTATTCTCGTCATTCCGCCGGTGAACAATCATGTTACTGTTGAAAACTATAATAATAATGCAACGTTTTATGTTTAAATGAGTGTCATTTCCGCAACTGAAAATGTATGATTAGGCTACATACCTCCTGATGATTCACTTTTACAATCTCTTTGCAGAAAACTACTGGCTATATTATGAGTTAAATGACTCTGTTAGACAGCTAAAAAAAAAAGAATTTTACATGCGCCACTATAGCAAAAGCTAGCCTTGAGCGGTCGTTGTTCAACAATTTAGCGAAGGTTAGCCTATAATAGTAGTAGTAGAGTGCTGTAGATTCGTGAGAGCTGATGCTAAGGCCTTGAGTGAGGTCTCAAACGATAGGCAATTCTTGGTCGTTATACACAATAATTGATGATATACGTAAATTGGTGCAGTTTTAGTGCATGTTTTCTTTTAAAAACCCTTAACATATCTGAGAAACAAGCTTATTTTTGTACAAGCAGTGGAATCACTTTTGAAAGGAATATTATTCGATGCGCATTTGAATTCCGTACAAACTTACTATGGAATGGGAACAATGTTATTGTTGAAAAGAATTGTTTTGTTACTCCTTTTTCGGGTTTCCTCGTAGCATATGGCTTTAAACTAGGCGTTTTACAATGATAGGGAAGTTTCCAGGTTCGATTCTGAATAGCAACCGCACCGCATTTTTTTTGCTGGAAATTGCGTGGGATGCTATGGTGTTGAGGATGCCATAACAAAAGTCTATGGAAGAGAATATATACGAGTTAACGGATAGTTGGTGTTTTTTTTTTTGCGAGGAAATGTCATGTATGCACCGGCTTTGTGTGCATCTTTTTGATGAGTGGAAATATCGGGTCAATTTGTAATCTTTCATCTCATTTTGATTCTTTAGTGATTCACTCTAAAAATGTATCTTTACGCACGACAAGTGTGTACCTGGCAAGAGCAGCTGTCATGTACCTACATACTCTTCTGTGTCCAACTTTTTGATTATCATAGGTGGTTGTACTAGCTGTGCTTCACTTGTGAGATGCTTCTACAAAATTCATGTATCTTATTGAATGCAAATCAGTAGCAGTATGCCGTCTCGCTTATTACAATGGAAGGTAAAAGCGTTATATACTATTATTTAAGCTGAAGGAGGTGATGTGGGGATAATAAAGTACTGGATGGAATGATCTCGGTGACAGGGATAATAGATCCAATCTATTATTACATTTCATTTGCCACATGTAAGGACACATCTTTAGAGGCGATGCACCAGAAGAATTTGTGCTTCCAAGTAGCCCCGTTTACGAAACTACTCACAATAACGGCTCCATGATGTCTAGAGTAGACTATTGGGTATCAGAGACCTAATAATGTCCTATGTGATTAACGCGCATCGGATCTCGCATACACATCATTAGTACTATGGGCTTGCAATCTGAAAAATCTATTTGATAGCACAGAAAATGGATACAAGAACAAGCTTGATATTATAATGCAACCATTGGATCTCTGTAGAATGCGCAGTGTTTACGTTGTTTTTAGTGGAACCAATCTTTCAGATGATATCTTGCAATCGACGATCTCTACTGCTGCTTACTAACACATGCAACCAAATGATTGAGCCAATAAGCAACTGTAAAAAAGATATCATAATGGCATTCGTTTATGCGTCAAAAAGAGGGCATTTCGCGGTCCAAAATTCGCTTGCTCTTCTTTTTTTTCATAAACCATGGCTTTTTCATCTCGACTCTCTCTTTTCACTCGCCATTTACACACTTCAGGTATAAAAATGACTACTGAAAAAGCTACTTTTGCTGCTGGATGCTTCTGGTAAGTTGCTGTTGCATGGCTTGTTGTGCTGTTGCTGTCGCTAAATGATATGTATGCGATGAATTAGGGGCGTTGAACATTTGTATGTCAAGCATTTTAAACAATACGATATCAAGACCAAAGTAGGCTACATTGGAGGAGATACCAAGGATCCTAGTTATCGCGCAGTAAGTGTTGAATCTGTGCTGAGCATCCTGTGAATTGACCATGCTGTGCGCAGGTTTGCTCAGGATCTACAAACCATGCTGAAGCATTGGAGATCGATTTTGACCCCAAGAAGGTTTCTTATGAGACGCTTGTCGAGTTCTTTTACAGAATGCATGGTAAGAGAAGCTGGGTGAGCAGTAGCATAGCAGAGACATGTAGGGCTTAATGAAATTACCACTAGATCCTACTACTGTCAATGCACAAGGACCCGATAGAGGAACTCAATACAGATCTGCCATCTTTTATCACTCTCCTGAACAGAAAGCCACTGCTGAAAAGGTAACTGCAGAAGTCCAGGAGAAGCATTATAAAGGCAAAAAGATTGTTACCGAGATCATTCCTGCTGGCATTTTTTACGATGCCGAAACGTATCACCAGGTAAAAGAGAAAGCTTTTGAGCTGAAGCAAAGCGAGAGCAAGACAGAAGCGATACTGACATGATTGTTATAGAAATACTTGGACAAGAATCCTGGTGGATATGAGGTGAGCACAGATATACAGACATCGAACCAAAGCGACATTATTAATGCAAAACATAGTGCCCCACTCATTTTTTGCGTTGGTAACTCCTGCTTGAATCGTCACAACATATCACATCTATTTCTGGATTTAATAAAATCTACTTCTTTTTACACCCATTTCCCATCCAAAAGAATGAGAACCATTTCACTTGTAAAGAGATTGAAATGGTCTTTCTCTGGCAACATGAACCCACACGCCCTAGTCATTGGCGATGTAGACAACGATAACGTAAACTATAACACAACACACTAGCACCGTATATTGACACATATGCATAAAAGGAAAACGAGTTTGTCATTGGCAACCTGAATGGTGATTTAGCCATCTTCAAGGGTCAGTGCGAAGATGGATTTCCATCGTACGTTTGTCGTGGTCTAGGCACAGTAAGCAACACAAAACGAACTATGATCCATCCACTCAAAAGGCCCACTATTTAGATTACATGTATAGCCATTGGCGATGTGAGGAACCATGGAAAAGTAACGTTGTAGACACACTACTGGTATGAGATGGATACTCACCTACAGAACCGTGTTATAGAATTCAGTCGTCATTATCAATGCAGAAGGGCATGCACACATATTCGATATACCACCTAAATCCAAATCATCCAGCAGCAGTGCAGATCAGCAGCATATATCCGTCGACGACTACCTTCGAGGGGGACGGCGTACGTCTGATACAGCCAGCATACAAGCGTTTAGGCGAGTAATGAGTAGCAATACCATGACCAGTGCGCCTGATGTGCCACCACAGCAACAGCAGCAATTCCACCAACAGCAATTCAATACCAATGCACATCAACAGCACCAACAGCAAAAACCACGAATCCATGACTTGGGAAAACCAAATTTAACCTTAAAGGTGCCTGTCAACGTCAATAAAATCTTGATTGCAGACATTGATCACGATGATTTGAATGAGCTCATATTGGCAAGAACAGATCGCATCTTGCACGCATTTCAGCTTGTGCCTTCCGACTTTACTGTACCTCACGACCATGTGTACAAGGGCATACAAACACCTTCCTTGGCTTCGTTATCGCCTTCTGCTTCTACAGCGAGCTTGAATGGGTTAGGGCCACATGCACACAAACCATCCGCGCCACAGCAACAACCGCCGCCGCAAAACAGAGCGACTAGTAATACCACCTCCGCCACTACTGCAACTGCAATCTCTACCAGCACGACCACTGCTGCCATGACAGGAGCAGCAGCTACAGCAACATCTGCGACGATAAAGGATGAGAACAATAGCAAAAAAATCAACTTACTGGATAAAAACATGTGGGTGTTTGATGGCCAGATTAGCTCACTATGCACAACGACACATCCAGAACGTCCCAATGAACCTCTGCTGCTTGTAGCTCAACCAGGCAACACATTCACCATCATTGATCAGGATGGCAATCGATTCAACCGAGACTTCACACCGCAAAACAGCAACAACACTGCTTACAATGCTAAACACAGTTCCTCAGCAAAGCGGTCAGCATCGAATTCCACTGTTGGCACCAGCGCATCTGCTTCTACCGCTACTGCTCCCAAGGAAGACGAAGAAAAGATCAAGGCACTGTTGAACAGTCAGACAGATGGCAGTCTACCGTACAATTTCGAGATATTCCAAGATCCATCCTTGAATCAATCAGCGCCCAGCGATGATTCAGACACGCATTTTCAAAGATCCAATTATGTGGTCAAGAACTGGCCAGTGCTGGACGGAGGAGGCAACAATAACGACGATGTGATTGACGATGAGATTGAGAGTGGAGCTGTTGCAACAGAGATTGTGATTGGAAAGCGACATTTGCTGCAGGACTCATTTTCAAGTAGTGAAGTTGGCATGCTGAGCATGGATGGTAAGGGCAACTCGAGAGCGTGTCTGTTACCATCAAGGTCTAATTTATGCCACTAGGCAAATTCTCGATTTACGATCTCAAGACCAAGACCACATCGCAAAGAGACTTGTTTGTCACACACAAGCTGTTTAGCTTGGCTACATTGGATGTATCAGCAGCGTCGTCTAGACTGTCCAACACCAGCACGGCAACTGACTCTTTTGCACCACATTATGCTCATTCACAGCAGCGCTACCATCATGGTACACATACCCCCGTGAGTAGCACATCGCACCTTCGATTTGCATCGACTACTACGCCGAAAAATGGATCACTGCACGAAGGGTCTCGATCATCCTCTAAATTATCGCTGAGCGGCTTCGTGAACAGCAAGAAACAGCAAACAAGGCATCAGCATGACACTGAAGCCTCGAATGATGAAGAGGATGAAAACGGAGATGAAGACGAGGACGTGATCAACAAGACCAGCATTGTTGCCAGCAGTAGCAGCAGTAGCGAGAGCAGCGACGCATCAGACACATCTTCCGGCGCTCTGTCGACCAGCGACGATGAAGATGATAGCGATTACGAGAGTGTGCCCTGGAGCGAAGGCAGCGAGATGGAAGACGAGGAACCAGGCTGTGATTTGTTTGTGGCCTGTGCGTGGAACGGTGTGACCTATCTTATTGATTGGAGTAAAAAATTGGACAGTGATACAAACCAGGATACCATCAAATATCAACTGGTGAAATTTGCGTTTGAAGGAAGAGTATGTGCTTTTACAGCTGGTCTTTACAGCGTGGAGAACCATGTCAATGTGCCGTGCTTGTTCTACGTCGATTTTGAGGACCAGATCTATGTGTATTACGATGTGCGCATCTCGCCTGGACCGGTTACTGGCTTCATCGACCTGATTGATGATGATATCGAGGAGGCTTTGGATAGAATCATGGGAATAGAAAACGGCATTGAATCTCAATTGAAAAAGAAGCCATCAGCTGGGGGTGGTGGTCCTGCAACAACAGCAGCAGCGACAGCAGCCAATGAAGAAGATGGCGCAAGAATAGATCTAGGCGATGGCTGGGAGGGTATAGCCGATGGATTAGATGATGAAGATGACGATATCATTGGAGATACCAGTGCACATCCTCATGCATTGGATGATGAAAGCCAAGATACAGATCCATCTAGTAAGTGTTGTTGCAGACTCAGAAACTATTAAAATGTTACTCATATGGGAGAGTATTAGATCTCGCTGACTTCATCCATGAGTGCTTGTATGGCTTCCATGACATGAAGGATAGACTGGAGAATCAAGTGCTTCAGGTGAGTTTGAATGCAACAGCAAAGATATACCCTTTCTCTTGCTGCAGTGGGGGGGGGGGGACGAGGCAATAGCTATTACTCATCATCAGAGGGTAAACTTTTTTTTTTTTTTTTTTTAGTTTGAACAGAGTCGACTTTCAAACCGATTACCTCCGGGAGCTGATGCTAGACGACTCTCTGATCTCAACATCACCATTGAACCACCATCATTGGAAGTAACGACTGAAGAAAAGCAGCCAAACGTCGTTGCAGAACAAGTAGATGATACAATTGGATTGTATCCTACAAACAGCAATATCAGCGAAGAATCTTCAGAGAGCTTCGACCACAATGATAATCATATAGCGTCATGGATTGAAGGATCTCTTATAAACTCATCCATATTTAAGCAGGAAGATTCATCCGATGATGATCTGGATAGAGATGATACTTCGACATCATCTTGACAACGCTGTCAGTAAGGTTTTTGCTCTGATTTTATTTCAATATGAATAAATGATGATTGTATTTGTACAGCAGTTTAGAGTTCGATAATAGAGGGATGATGGGAGGTTTTCTACAGAAGGAAATGGGGGAAATGAATGTATGACAATGTGGAGAATTTTGATTGTGTTGTGTGTGTGTGGGTATTTTGTAAAACGTATCACAGATAATACTAGGTATATCGAGAGTGCTTGTATTTGCCTGTCCACATTTCAACACCTTGTTCAGCAAAGATATCCACAATACCGCTGTAGTAACCGCTCATAGAAGCACAGATACAGGCAACACCGCTGGCTTGCATTAATGAAACGATGCCAGTCAATGTATAGCACGCTTCCAAAAAGAGATTCAAAAAGATAAAGAACAGACACCAGGTCGTCAAGAAACTACCGTTCTTGACCTTGAGCGAGATACCACAGACCATCAAGCCGAAAAAGGCCCAAAGATACAGAAACATGGCGGTAGTGGTGGCTTCCTTATGATTGATAGCGTACACATTCAATGTTTGACCTACAGAGGGCACCATCATGATACCAGAGCCTAACCAGTAAGCACCGAATGTAACGAATAAAGAGCCACTAAAACTATCGCCACTGATCAAGACCAAGAAACCCGAAATGAACTGGGCTAGACCACCGTACATCAAAGCTGTGGGTAACATCAAGTGGTTTGATTCTGTCGGTATAATTAGTTTGTGCAATGCCATAAGCATGGTTACAGTTGCAAATCCCCAGTTGGCTGTAAATGGATTCTTCAGTATTAGAGTTCATGTATTACAAGTTTTTTGTGATATATTAAACTTATTTACCAATGATAGCAGGATTTCCCATTCCTGAAAGCCTCAATGTAGACTGATTGGCAGAAGAAGACAGAATAGAGGTATTTTTAGCAGTTTCATCACCAATCATGTTGCTGTTGCCATTGCTGCCACTAGCGAGCTTCTCCACATCATAGTAATTGTGATGCGTGGTTGTCTTTTCAACACAAATGATGCTGTCCGCCGAGAGATTATTGCTGCTATTCTTAATCAATTGCTGTTGAATAGTAGAGAAATCTGTCAATGTGTTTTCACTGTCTACGATAGGAAATTCATGAGGACGTTGAAGATGAGGTTGAAGATGAGGTTGAAGATGAGGTTGAAGATGAGGGTGAGGAGGGGGCGAATTGGGAGGAGAGTTAATAGGTGTAGTAGCAGTGCTACTAAAGATATTCGCTCTTCTTGTGGCCATAGATGCAGTAGCAGTAAGATTAGACATGCAAGCTCAAAAGAGTAAGGATTTTCCCCAGATTCTTGCTATTTTGAGTGGCCCTTTATATATGAGAGATTCTCGCAAGTAATACAAGGCAGAAAATATATCTCCCATAAGACTGAACTCAAACTGAAGGGCTATATTTTTCCACGATATGAAATGTTGGTTATAAATAAACAGCCATCCATGGCAAATGATTATTTCATTTTTAGATCATTCCAATGTCGCTCCCTTGTTCTTTTCTTTCTTTTTTTTTTTCTTTTTTTTTAAAAAAAAATGGACATGCTGCTCAAGGATATGATTCCATCTCCAGAGACGAGATGTTGCAACATGTGAATTGACATTGGATGGACCATAAATTTCTTGCTCGGTAAAACTAAACTAGGACAAACCGTCCAAACGCGACTAGTCACTGCTTAGATGGCTTGTACGGCAGATCAAAAAACTATAAAAGGTGTCTGCAAGTAACCAAATGTTGCTGCTTCTTTACCAATCAGTAGGAAAATGATCTGTTAGCAGATGCTACGGCACTGCAACATTTATATTTTTCAGATGATGAAAACGGGTATTCGGATGAATTCGTCAGTTGATTACAACGCGCCCTGGTAGAAATACCTTTCTGATCTCACCTACTCATTGACATGTTATATCATAAAAAAAAAATGAAAAAAAAAAAATTTTACGCAACTACATCTCTTCTGCGTTTGCTGTTGCAGAGGCTGAGGATCAAAAATTATAAATCATGGATTCCATGTCGAGAAAAGGAAACTGGCAGTAGTGTTTGATGTCGTACCAATGAATGCTTGTGTGTGTTGACTTCATTTTTTAATCATGTTTGTGTGCGTGTGTGTGTATATATATGTTGTGTATACAACATATGCTTTGCGTGTGTTGTGTGCGTGTGTGCGTGTGTGCTTGTGCTTGTGCAAAAATTTCTTTCATTTCTCTTTTCTTCCACTTACATTTTGCTGACTACATTTGGGCCACTTGATATCTCTCTCTTTTTTTTTTTTTTTTTTTTTTTTTTAGACCACATCACTGTTAAAAAAAATAGGAGAAAGGGCCACTGTATATATATAAATATATATACATACACCCATGGGAAATCAAGCTTCACGTTCTTCCTCTAATACGAATCGCACCAGCGCAACTATCAAAGATGACCCTTGTTTGGATAATATAAGGCAATGGCACACAAACAACCCAGATGAACCATACAAGCGTCAATACCCTTTACCGGCTATAGCAAATGATCATAATCGCATCAAACCGAGAAAGCAATCATCGCCTGCAGCTGTAATTTCAAGCATAAATGGTGCTCGAAAACCATTTTCTCGATTTTTTCCAAGATCCAATCATCGTAATAACAGTTGTTTTGACAACACATCATTGTCAAAATCGTTGCTCGTCAATAAACCACTATTAACAAACAATACAACGGCAACAACTACTGCCACAACAACAACCACATCTAATACCATTCACTCTAATAATATCACACCTAATACCACTATTTCTAATACCAATCACTCTTCTTCCTCGGCTTCAGCGGCGACATCCTTGTGCTCGTTTAATTCTACACAGCCTCACTATGTGCATCCATTATCAACACCTTCCATTTACAATGAGCCATGTCATCAAATGTTGCCTTTTGAAAACGAATCATTTTCAAGACCAAGCATGGAATCATCTAGAAGATTTAATACACGAGATAGTGTGTCTACAAACCAACTAAAATTACTATTATTACAACAGCAACAACAACAGCAGCAATGTACCTATCGTTTGTTTGGCAATCGAAAGTATCACCATGTCAACGGATCAACGTACCTGCTGCCGTGTGACGATGAAGAAGTGGATCGATTGCATCTTCAGCATTTCATGATTCGATTTGCGATTCAAGGGTAAAGTAGAATTTGGCTGAAAATGGGCTGGTAGCGTAGAGATTGACACTCGTGTATGCAGAAACTATCTAGCACCTGTCAGCGATGTATTGAGAAAGGGAGGTCGTGTTTTGGATATTGGATGTGGTCCTGGATCGTGGTCTATGGAAATCGCTGGCGAATACCCCAAATCAACTGTCATTGGTGTCGATATCACACCCAACTATCCCAGAGAAATCAAGCCTGCCAACTGTGCCTTTTACCAATGCAATATTCTCTCCACGTTACCATTTGAGGATGGCACATTTGATTACATATTCATGAGGTACATATAAATGATTGATTCATGTCGTGCAACTTTACCTAAACAATTTCCTAAATTAGATTCATGGGCCAAGGCGTTGGATCAGATGAATGGTCTACATTACTGAAAGAATTGCTGCGTGTATTGAAGCCAAATGGTTGGATTGAATGGATTGAGGCTGATATCGAAATACATCGTCCTGGTCCTGTTACGTCTGAATTCAATCAGAAGTTGATCAATTTGATGATGGAGCATAATCAAGATGCGCGTATCGGAAGTAATTTGAAATCAAGGTTGTTGGAAATGGATGAATTGACAAATATTTCCACAACATTTGTCTCTTGTCCAGGCGGTCAATGGGCCGGCAAGGTAAAGACGAGGGTCAGACGGTAGTATATTTTGACGTGGGTTGACACTTTTTCTACTTTAATAGCTGGGTCAGCTCACAATGCAATCGTGGAAGGCATACTATCAAGCATTACGACCGCTCATGTGCCAATATTGGGGGATTTCTGCAACTGAATACAATGAAAGATTGGAAGCATGTTGGCGAGAAGCCGATGAATACAAAACGTTTGAAAATGTTCATTTTTCTTATGCTCAGAAACAAGCAGCTCCTCCACCTCCGTCCATTAAAGTTGCCAATTCTGCTCCTTCGTCTATCAAGGGTGGAAAACGAAATTAAATCTATTGCCATTTATTGTAAAAAAAAAAAAAAAAAAAAAAAAAAAAAAAAAGAATAAAGATGAATAATGCTTGTTATAAGATTGTGAAAAGGGACATCCATACGTAACTCACGACAATATCAGAATTGACCGCTCGCCTTTGCTGATATTGTGAGATCGTTTCTTTCTACACGGCTTGCAAAGTCTCGCGTAGCTAAAATGTTCAAATCATTCACCTTACACACAGTTCAGTTCTGGCATTAATGTTGTTGTTTTTTTTTTTACATAAACTTGGCTCAAAATAAGATGTAAAAAAAATGCACTTTAGAGCATTTTAACCCGCAATCCCTTTCTTATGAGCGTTAGCAATATCCATTGCCTTCAAACCATGGTTTTGCCTCAGTGCCTGCCAAAAACCCAACCCCCATTGACACTCCGACTGATATATTATTTCAATTCGTTGATTCTGATCAAAAATCGACCTGTTTGATTTATTTCACAGGATTTGACTATCTAAATAGTGATCATTGCCTTGCACTTTATTAAGCTTCCCTGAAGTACTCTTTGAGGCGCATCCCGTGGTGCTAGTAACGGGAGGTGTTTTGAATGAACTTATAGAATAATGCTTGAAAACGTGAAATGACGTTTTTGACCAAAATCTCGAGATTTTGTATACAAAAGTCTCAGAAACAAAATATCAGGAATTGTTTTAGATCGAGAGAAACATTTTGATCTAATATATGCCATAGTAAAACTCTTTATTTTTGCGGTCAAAAACACGATTGCTCGTTTTCTAAAGATTTTTCCTTGCTATTATTCATGTAAAAACCAAGATTTTCGACGATTTGGCATGATCCCAGAAAAAATGAGAAAATGCATCAGCAAGTAACTACTGCTTAAACATAATCGTTTGGAGTTGTTCTGATGGCTCAGAGTGGCCTACAAGTTGAGATATTAGTGCTCAAACATTGTCAAATTTAGCTGTGTTTTACACATTTGCGCGTAAAAAAGCACGTTTACGTTATGATATATAGGGAAAAAAGCACTGTATCTGCTGATATAGATTCAGACACGCTATAGTATCCAAATATTTGGGTAGCAAGTGGAAAGATTAGGTTGAGTCGCACTTCTGTATCGCTGTAGCACAGCGATGATACATTTTATTACTGAATTGTCTTCTGGATGCTGGTATTTGCATGCCACGCTGAAGATTTTATAAATAGTGAGAAGCTTTTATCTTTTGCTAGCTGACTTTACAGAAGAGAGTCTCTGTACAGACCTTGATAGCATACAACTTCCATCTGGAAAACATCCAATGTGGTTTGTTATCATCATCAAAGCAAGTTATCCATCATATGTAGAGCAAACCAATCTTTGTGTCAATTTACATTAGAGACTAGACAAGGTATGATAAGCTTTGGTCATATAGAGATGGTAAAATTGGCTGTATCTAGCACCTCAAGAGCTATAAGAATGATTTTACAAGGTCCAACATGGAACTTATCTTTTGGAGCAAGCCCCGATGAGGTGGATGAAATAAAATCAGGTAGTATCTAAATGTTGCTTGTATAACCTGATTACTCACTTACAAATAGAAACGACTGATACATATCTATACAAATTTATACTTTGATATGCTCGCCCCTGAAAGAACAAAATCACGCGGAGTTCCAATGACACATTTATGCCTTTTATGGAATGTTTTACAAGATCTACAAAATGCAGCCAGCCTGTCAAGCGCATCATACACATACGACTCTGATATATTTCACGATGTAACCACTGGACTCAATGAAAATTTGTGCCAGCTGAGAGCGATTGAATTTTGTGCCTGTGGTTTGAATCGTGTTGTGGATAATAACAGTAATCTTTTATTGAACTTTAGCGAGCTGGAGCATGATTATTTAACATTGTTTTTACGAGCATCTTCTCAAGTCAGCAGCATGTCAACAGCATGTCAACAGCATGTCAAAAGCATGTCAAAAGCATGTCATTAGACATTCAAAGCTATAATTCCAAAAACACCATATTCTATAGCAGAGCAAGTAATTAACCAATTCATCAGGAACGATACAAGAGAATATACCAGCTAAACTGCCCATAGAAACAGAGCTCACTTTGCAAAGGTAGCTACCATTATTATCCAGATACACTCTATACATCACTTTGGCGGTGAATATCACGAAATAATCAGTCAAGACATCTCCTCGGACTAGCTGCTATTCACATTATTTTTATGTTATACATACTACTAGCTAAATAAAATTGTATCACAATGGATGCAATACATTTCTGCTTATCATGTTTGATCGCATACTCTGAACTGAAGGGTCCTGGATCTATATCGATGTTGATTTGGTGTATAAACTGAACCTTTTGGCCTATTATCGATACACAGCCCTCTTATTACGTTTGCAATAGTTTATTATAATGTCATGCTAAATTATGGCGATAGCGATTATCCTCGCAATTTTAATCTTCAGCATACATGCGTTCAAGAGACTATTTTTTCAATTTACAATGTAAAAGTGCTAGCTGTTTGTGGCAATACGAATGAGCGTTCAGGGGCTATTTACACAGGTCACTGATCGTAAAGTAACAATGGATTCTTCTCCTAAATGTTTGCCTATGTCTATGATCCCTGCATAACTTTCTGTCAAGACGTATTATTCAATTGAGGAGATTTTATTAATTTTGCATAGCAGACACAAGAATCACTACAAAGGCTATGTACATGTGCATGCGCGTTATGGAAGATGATGCGATCATGTCATACATGGCTAAATACATCTGTTGTAATTGACAATGACATCTGTAGACAAGTAAAGCCTGTAAGATTGAAATGAAGACAAACAAATTACTGCAGGGCTTCTTGTACAAAAATATATCTACAGAATGATCAAGTATAATCAATCTGCTATTCTGTGAAATTAACTGTAAAATATGCATGGAGCATATGTGCCCTAAAAATCCAGGGGTCGATTCGCCATAGATGCCGAGGCTATCAAGCCAACATTATCTCCCAATGTCATTTATAGTTGGAACAATAGCTTTATTGATTAATTTAGATACTATTTTTTTTTTGGTTGTTTTTGTTGATATTTGGGATATGTATATGATTCCATGCTATTTGTTCTCGGCAAGGAAAAAGGTAGAAAAGAGGGTAGTAAAATACAAATTGCAGCGAGTTTAAACTAGATGATGTACAGATTTCTCGCTGTAAGGTGGAGACCAAGATGGAGGAGGATCTTGGAACATGCAATTGTCATTTTTTTCATCGACAACATATTGATTGAAATGGGCTGATTTTGGTGGTGGGATGTAGCCTATATCGTCTTCTGATGGCGAACGTCGGTTGAATTGACGGCTCCTCAAGGCATTGAAACGGTCGTCAAACTCAATGTCAATAGCCTATATACAAATCAGTTAGCATCTAGACGATTCATGACATCAATAACCAGTGCATTTACATAAGACGCTTTTAAACCGGATAATGACTGGATTCTGTAAGGCGTAACATCAAGGCCGTTTTTGATGAACCGAAAGTTAATGCCACGAATATTCTCGGTAGCATTCAACCGACAACAAATTTCGAGAATGTTTTTCTCAAACTACAAAGGAACAAAAAGAGTGTGTTTTAGATTGAATCAAAATTTAGTGGTTGCTTCTTATTTACCTTTGTTCGTCGGCTTCGATGCAGCCAAATCAAGAACAATGAGCTGATAATAATGAGGGCGGGTAATACTACCAGAATGTAGGGATTATTTAAATGAATCCAGAGCAGATAGAAGGATGTTGCTGCAGTCATCCACATGGTGAATAGTGTGCCAAACCAGAATATTTTGGGGCCGGGTGGTGCTCTCAAACGTGCAGCTTGATTGAAAAGACCAACAATCGAATGGAAGTCATGTATTGTAAGCTAAACATGGTTTGAAATGAAATTGGTGTAAATAACTTGTCTGTGCTTTTTTTTTTTTTTTTTTTTTTTTTTTTTCATTATATGAGTGTGTTACATTATTCTGGAGATCAAAGGTATATTGATCATCGAATTTCCTTCTGAATGACAAGCGAACGCTCTTCATGATGTTGAATGGCGAGAGAGAGAGAGAGAGAGTGAGTGAGTGAGTTAGGTGTAAATGTTTGATCTACGAAAAAGAAATGTGGAATGTTTGATCTGCCGTGTTGTATGAAAGAAGTTGAGAGAGATGTTTGATCCAAAAGGTCAAAAAAAAAAGTGGAAAAGAAAGGAAAAAGAAAGAAAAAAGGCTTTATAACATATGCCATGATCCCCCTTTACTTTATATGAAAATTTCATTTCAAACAATGATGGATTGTTTCCCGGTGATGCTGTATACAGTTTACAAAGAAACCCTATTATTGCCGTAATGTTTACATTTATTATTTATATATACACATGAATTTTGGTTCTAATTATCAACATGATGGCTAGACTTTGCTAATACTCGATCCAAATTGTAAGCAGCTAGAATAGAGGATATGTCAGTTGTATGTTCTTTTTAACTCTTTCCCCCCTGTCTCCCCTTCTCATAGGGACTCCCCCCCCTCCCTCTAGGATACATTACCACTAATAAATGACAGATGAGTAAATGCTTGAGGAAAGTTGCCCAACAATTCACCAGATCTTGCAACTTCTTCAGAGAACAAGCCGAGATGATTGCCGTAAGACAACATTTTCTCAAACATGACAACAGCACGAGTCAACAGTCTTTTGTCGTATTGACCGGCTCTGGTTAGAGCTTCGACCAACCAGAAAGTGCACATTGAGAAAGCACCCTCTAATCCACCTACGCCATCATCCGTAGTTAAAAAGTTGTATCTAAACACCAGGTCATTCGCAACCAAACCACCCTTCTCAGGAGGTAACAAAATACGCTCAATGGTGTTGAGTAATCTGGGATCTGTTGGAGAGGAAAAGAACACCAATGGCATAATCAGAGTACTGGCATCCAAGGCTTCAGGTGATTCCACACTCTGCGTGAACATCTTGAGCTCTTTGTTGTAGCATTTGGTCTGTACAAGCTCGTAAATCTCGTCTCTTGTTGCCATCCACTTATTGCGGTTGGGACATGGGAACACTCTCTTTTCAGCCAAACGTAAAGCTATATTTAATGTTTTTCAGTTATAATTTCAATACCATTAAGATGGATGTTTTTTTTTTACCTCTGTCAAGTGCTACCCAGCACATTACCAGCGAGTACGTGAATTGCTGCTTTTGCCCTCTTACCTCCCAGATGGACATGTCAGGAACATCCCAACTTTCGCATACATGATCTGCCAACTTGCGAACCGAGCACCACATTTCATATGAGATGGGAGATCCATACTTGTTGTACAGGTAGATACCATCCATCAATTCACCGTAAATGTCCAACTGAAGATGATCGTAGGCACCGTTACCGATGCGAACAGGGCGAGATGATCTGTAACCTTCCAAGTGATCCAGCTCAAACTCCTCCAGTTTCTTGACACCGTCAATGCTGTACATGATGTTCAGTGAACCATCTTCATTCAAGTCACTGCAACGGTCCTCAATAAATTGCATGTATCGACCAGCTTCATAGGTGAAACCCAAGCGAAGAAACGCGTACACGGTAAAGGATGAATCACGCACCCAAACATAGCGATAATCCCAATTACGGGGTCCACCAATAGCTAATTTAAAATAGTTTAGCTATTTGATTTTACGCCTCTTTCTTTCTCTTCCTGTCTTACCTTCGGGAATACCGAATGTGGGAGCGGCAACCACGGCGCCAGTCTATTCAAATAGTTCTGTTAAAATATACAGTCGAAATACACATGTAGACCAATACGTAACTGGTTCATAGGTCAACAGTTTGAGCGTCAAGGCACTACGCATCACGTTCTCTCTCCAACGGCCCTTGTAGGTACTCTGAGAGACCCAATTCAACCAAAAAGTGCTGGTCTGTCTAAAGAGCGCGTCCAATAGACTCATGGTAAGGGGAGGATCAAAAGCCATTCTCAATCGACGATCCACAGCATCTTCTTCAGCAGGCACATGAGAGGCTTCCGAATCAGGCAGTTCACGAAAGACAAACGAGACCTCTTGTGTTTCCTGCAAATCAAATTCTGCATAGACACCAGGGCCCTTATGTCCCGTATCTTGCTTGTCAATCACCGTCTTGACAAGAGGACAATCAAAATCACCGCATTTCACCAAATGACGCAAATCCATGGTCATGTCCTTGCTCTCAAAGATGACACGATCATTAGCAGCATAATAGTGCGTGTCTTGTTCTGGATACAGTTTAGCCTCGAGATTGGCCATGGTCTTTTGGTCCTCGGTAGTGGCATCCGTGACAATCTTTGTTTCATGCGAATCCATGGCATAATTGAAGGCGGGGTAACACTCCATCTTGAACTGGACGGTACCGCGAATGACACGCACCTTTCTAATGAGCCAGGGTAACAGAGGCTTGGTGGAGTGGCGTTGGCCTTGTGCCGGCACATGCATGTAATCCGTGATTTCAGCGACACCCTCGTCTGACATGAATCTTGTAGTCAAAATGTTGCTGTTGGGCAAGTACATTTGCTTGTTGCTTGTATGAGGTGTACGTGGAAAGATGGAAAAGTGGCCACCCTTATCTTTGTCAAGCATACGGCAGAACACAGAGGGAGAGTCGAACTTGGGGTAGCAGTAAAAGTCAATGGACGCATCTGTTCCCACTAACGCCACAGTTCTCATGTTACCGATGATACCATAATTCTCTACTGGCAGGTATCCCCTTTTGCGAATGTTGCAGCTGGTATTTTCTACGTCTGCCTTGGGAAAATGGTCAGGATTGACGCTTTGGCGGCGAGTATCGGCTACATAGCGCACGCCTTCAGGTAGTTCGGCACATGGCTCTTCACTGCGTTCGATTTCGGACTCTAATTGCAGACCATACGATCGATCACGGTTACTGGAAGCACTAGAGGGACGTCTGAGCGGGTTTGGAGATGTTGGCGTGGTAGGCATACTATGGATTTGATGATAGAAAGAACAGAAAAAGAAAAAACCCCTTCATTTTATACTTGCACATTGCCCCATGGAAACGAAAATTAAAAAACGTCATGTGTGTAATGCCATTTTTATGCTAAAGTTTTACATTTTGTTTAACGCGGCGATAATTTATACTCTTTAGTACTTTGTGTGGCAGCAGGAACATATTCATAATCATTATCAATGAGGTCATGTTTTATTATTAAGCATATTTGCAAGGAAGGATTTTACCACTACATTCGCCAAAGCCAATGTTGTAGTCTTGGCCATGCGCTTGACCAGTGATCTTGACTTGATCTCCGTCTTGCAAAAAGAGTCTCTCCACACCATCTTCAAATGTGATCTTGTCTCTACCGCTCCACGTAATTTCTAATAAGGAGCCGTAGGATCCCTTTTCCTATGAATTTCATGCACTTAGTCATAAATTTGTAATAAGCATCTCATCAGCACTTACAGGTCCAGAAATGGTGCCAGTAGCGCCCATGTCACCAGGTCGCAAGTTGCATCCATTGACTGTGTGATGAGCCAACTGTTGTGTGATGGACCAGTACATGTGCTTGAGATTAGAAACTGTCACTGTCTCGAATTTAGAGGATTCAGAAGCTAAAAGAAATTATGGCGTTTGTTAGTCACTCATGTGTAGGATCCGACTGTTGCATGAATCAGATACTTTACGTTTGATTTGAACTTGCAGTTCAATGTCATAGGCAGAAGGCTTCTTCTCTTCGAGGTATTTTAAAGGCTCGGGGGAGCTTTGATCAGGGCCGTTGATCAGGAATGGTTCAAGAGCATCCAAGGTAACAATCCAAGGTGAAATAGTGGTACCAAAACTCTTGCCTAAAAAGGGTCCCAATGGAACATATTCCCAAGCTTGAATATCGCGGGCTACGTGCACGGAACAAAATGCGTGAGGAGAGCTGTTGCGCGTATGATTTCTTCAAATGCTTACCACTCCAATCATTCACCAAGACCAGACCAAAGATATGATCTTGGGCATCCTTGATATCAATGCGATCGCCCAAAGTGTTACCAGTGCCAACAAACCATCCAACTTCTAATTCAATATCTAATCTAGCAGAGGGACCAAAGATGGGTGCTTTGGCATCCTTGGAGGGGAGCTTTTGGCCGGCGGGGCGATGGATATCAGTGCCAGAAACAACAACAGAAGATGCGCGACCGTGGTAGCCAACAGGGATGTGGAGCCAGTTGGGCTGAAGAGCATTGTCTTTACCACGGAACATGATGCCAACATTGGTAGCATGATCGCGAGAACAGTAAAAGTCGGTATAATCACTAATGGTCAGCATTGAGTCTACCATGCCACACTCGCCAAGTTTAAAAGAACTTACCCAATCTTGGCTGGCAAGTGCATTTTGACACTGGTCAAGGGGATCAATGCCTTTTGGACGAGTTCAGCGTTATCCTTCAATTTGGTGCTGTCCTTGGATAGAATGTCTTGAATAGCTAAACGTGTCTTTTTCCAAACAGGTCTTCCAAGAGACATGAAGGTGTTTAAGCTCGACTAAGATGTATTGTAGACATCAGTACCCAACCCATCGTCAGCAGGTACCTCAAAATAGACTTACTTCACTGAAGATCTTGGATGGCTCATTCAAACCTTCAATGTTGTCCAAAAGACCAGCCTTGGCAACCTCTGAGAGATCGAGCACTTGATCACCAATAGCTGTACCAACACGAGGCTCAGGCTGACATAGTAAATAGCATGAGTACATTAAACCCCATTTCAAATGTCGTAAAGTGTCATCACTGTCGTCCTACCTTATCAGATGTGGAAAACACGCCAAATGGAATGTTTTGAATAGGGAAATCAGAGTCCTTGGATACAGGTACGAAACTTTCAGTGATGGGAGACATGGTCAAGATGAGTAGAAAATAATAAAAAAAAGGTGAAAGGTAGATACCAGTTCAACAACAAAGCTTTTTTTATTCTGTTTGGCTCTGTCAGATCAGCTGACCGTGGTATATATGTAACTCTTGGGCTGGTGTAACGTGAAATCAATGGTAAACCGTAGTTAAGAACGAACTGCCAATATGTCAAATTGAGCATCATGTCTTTTGTGAGTAGGACAACATAAAAAGCCTACGTGATAGAAAGGTTTGAAAGCAGTTCTTTTATACCAAAGATGACGGCTTTCGCTATGTCACTTGCCATCAAATGTGTATGTGATTTGGGTTGATTTATGCATCGGCGGAAAGGAGTTTAAGGAACCCGCTTTGTAAGGGCGCTGTGGAACTGAATATAACTTTGTTTTCCCCACAAATCGACAACATTGAACCACGAAATCAATCACGACTATCTGGCTCGACGCTGCTCTTTGTTCGGTCCCAATTGGTAAATGGCGTGCTTAGTCCCTGAATGCCTCTTGAAGTAGGTTTGTCTGACAGTGTCTTTTCATAAGCGCGGCAATTGATGTCAGGGTCATCCAGATTTAACACTACACTTTTCTTCTGTTCCTGCTCTAGCTTCCATTCTGCTTTGTGAATCGCCGTAAGATGTTGTCGATGAGAATCCATGCTTGATAAACTTTCATCACAGGACTTGCAGTAAGTTGAAGCATGTCCTATCCAAGCTGACGGTATTTATTTTTAATTTGGCCAGTTTGGCAGGCTCCACTCTATGCCTATTGAATCAAAACAGAGTTCCACAGTTGAAACGATATATGCACTTTTGCGTAAATGACAATGTTACATTTCACTTTAGGAATTTCGTATTTTGGGGGCCACTTGTAAAAAATTACGTCCATCAGATACATACACATGCAGAAATCTAAAGGTACAGTAGGGGAGCTAAGCCATATTACTTTACAACTCGTAATCTACTTCATATTAGCATCGCAAACATCGATTGTAATCATTGGAAAGGCATTTGCAAGCCAAACTTTCTTAAAACGCAGATCAACATTTTTTCTGGAAATAGGAACTTTTCATCGATTTTCGACTTGATTGAACCATCTTCCAAGATTCGACTATGTAAAATGTGCTGCTCAACCCATACTTTCTAAAGCATTTTTGGAGTACTTTTCAAGGCGCATCCAACGGTGCTAATCAGGAAGAATATTTTAAATGAACTTATTGAGCAATTCCTAAAAATAGAAAATGACGTTTTTGGCCAGAATGTCGAAATTTCACATATGAAACTCTTGCAAACAACGTTTCAGGGGTTGCTTTGGATTGAGAGAAACATGTTGATATAATGTATGCTATAGTAAAAGTCTTTAATTTTGGTGTCAAAAATTCGATCGTTTAAATTTTAACGAAAACCATGAGGGGTACCTCATGCTATGGAGTCGATTTTCGGCCATCCCAGGAAAATTGAGCAAAAGTGTCAGAAAGTAACTACTAGACGAGAGCAATTGTCTAGTGCTATTCCCGTGGTATAAAATAGATTTTAACGCGAGAAAACACAGCTCAAATGCATCCAACTTTTGCTGTGTTTTGCATAATTTTGAGTAGCCAGAGGCAACACAAGTATGCTGTATGACCGTACTTAAGTTGTTTCCATGGATACAGACGTGGAGTATCGCGCAAGAGTCAGATAAACAGTTGCAGGTTGCTTTTTGAAGGTTCTCTAGTTTCAAAGTCTCTCGTTCGCTTTGTTTTAGTGTAATCTTATACCAAAGTTCAAGTGCACGAAGAGGTAGAGCTGATTGAAGCTCTGACAATAGTCAATAGACTAGTCATCTAGATTGAAACTCTAAACTATGCGTGTGTATTGCAGCAATTGACAGAATCTTTATTTTATAGAAAAAGAATAAATGTATTAAATAGAAAAAGATGATTGTAAGAAACAAAAAGGAAGAAAATGGACACTCAACGTGAGCGAAACTATATAGCTTGTAACAACCTAAGATATGTATAGGTTAAAAGAGACTGAGACAAATACTTAAGCAGAAGCGCAAGCATCATTCTTGTGTACAGCCCACCAAGCACAGGCACCAGCGAATTCATTGTTGAACAATTCTGGGTCATCGCCAGTACATTTGGCCATGCAAGTGCCAGCAGCTGTCATGAACTTGATGTAGTTGGGACCAGTCTTGGTACACATGAGGGAGAGAGAGTCAATGAAGAGGGGAGAGGTGCTATCCATGGTCCATCCAGGGACCCAAGTTTGACCAGCGGCAACATTACAAGCAGTGAAACAAGGAGTAGAAGAAGGGACGTTGTAAGAAGGGTTACAGCCAGTAGCGGCTCTGGGAGAAGGAGCAGCAGATACAGAAGAAGCAACCAAGGCAAGAGCAGCGGAGAGGGCAATAGAGGCACGCATGTTGATGATTGTTGAAAGTATTACTTTTTGAAGACGTTGATAATTTGATTTAAATTGTGGTCTCAATCGCTCTCTTTTATACTACACGTCGACACGCAGAAGCGAATGATGGTGAAACAGTACCCATACTCTTTGTGCTCATTACGAGTAAGCATACGACAAGCATGGTTCCTTCACTTGCCTTCATAACGGAAGAATACGGGGTTCAGCTATAATATACAGCTATAGAAATAAGCAAGGCAGCATGTAGTGTGGTATAGAGCAAATGGACTGAATTTCTGAAACGGCATGGCTTACATTACAGTCATTTTGTGATCCAGTTTTATCAGATTTTAAATTGCAATCAGGTAGTACAGAATTTCAATCAGATAACTTTTATTACTATGTAAGGGGGTATACACAACATGCCCGTCACTTGTAAGAGAGGCCATTATTTACATCAAGAAATACTGCAATTGATACGCTTCTTAAAGGTCCATGAAGCTTCAGGTTGGTGAATAGAACCATGCCTTCTATACCGCATAGAACTGATGAACAATGGCTTGAATGTTCACAGACAGTCTTCACATAGACACAGGTTGATGTGCCGACTGAACGGACAAGAAAGAAACTACAGAATGTTCGCTTAGTTTTACCATTAATTTACATGCTAAATATAAAGATTTGAGTATGACAATCTGATAAAAACACTGTTTTTCATGTAATGCAAACAGCGTGAATGGTAACATCAGTTAGATCTGATAATCAATTTGTGCTTGCCCATACCTGTCTCTTTTTAAAAAAAGCATTCGGGTAGCAACGGCTAAGGCATTCATTATCAGCTTAAAGAGAGCGACTGTATTTCTACAAGTTGTATATAATTAAATGTCTTCGACATGGATACTTGGCGCATATCTCCGTAATGTGGTGTGAAGCCGACAGGCATTGAGAGATTTTGAGCGTGATTTGATGCCATCTTTCCATAGGAATTCTATGTTTGAAGACGCAATATTGTGTTATATAGTCAGCATTCTGTTGGCTTGACGTGCCACAGGGTTCAAATAGAGAGTGCGTTCTATGGTTTATTCTTATTAATGTCTCTGGAGTTGCTTGAGATTGAAAATAAGGTTAATACATTAGACATGAATCATGCCATCGATCCACGAATAAAGTATGAGTTTCCTATATGCAATTAGTGATCGAGGAACAAAGCTGTTGCACGTTGTACTTGTGCCCGGGTACTCACATCAAAAACCTGTATTCCGCTTTTATAAAAGCCTCCTATAGCTTCAAAACTTTGTGCCCACCAAACAGAGAGCAAAGAGGACCTTTTAATGTAAGATAGAGGCTTGTAAGGGGGGGTTTTTTTTTATTGCTATGCATCAGACGAAATGCCATGTGCCATCATTTGAAAGTTATCACAAAAGATGCAATAATCATGAAGAATGCATCTACTAGAGTTGTAAAAACATTCGTATCTGTAAAAGCTTTAGGAATATAATAATTCAAAAACCATCAGTCAGATGTACGTATGTAAACTCAAGGGAACACATAGATTCTCTTCAATAGCAAGGAAGAACCCAGAGTATCTCATCTGACGTAGATAAAAGAGGCCCATTACATGAACTACTGTTGTAAAATAGGATGTTTGCACTTCCAAGGCACAACGACGCAACGCTTGAGCTGATGCATAGCCTAAGCATGTGGTATTTCTGTGATGAAAGCCTGCTTACAGCTTGTTTTGAAAAGGAGTATCCTCTGTAGATGAACGATGATATACTAAATCAACATGTCATGGCTCACAGTTCAGTTGCATGAAATCACGAAATTAGCCGACATTCCTATTTGTTTATTTCAGATTTTTAAACTCTGATATTACAGCAACGGCAAAAAGTGTTAGCCGTATCATCTTTTGTGTGTGGATGTATCACAGCCTTTTTTTTTCTTTGTCTTTTTGGTCAACCAATATACAGTATAATCATGTCACACCCACATTCAGCATTACAGATTTACCAGTTTCTCTCCACATTGCATCAATCTTGTCCCAACAAAGAGACATTTGACGCCATTCTTCTCTCACTTCAAACACCTCGATTCACACCCGTAACTACCATCACCGAGCGATGGACACCTACCTTTCAAACCTACATGCCGCAATTACTGGCCGATTTCCAACAACTCATGGCTGGTGCAGCACGCTCACTAGAATACGACGCCCTTGTCATCAAAGTATCAGAACACTACCCACTCATTTACAGAGTATCCTGCTTTTTGGAAAACGATTTGGAACTGGAGCTGTTTGTCAGATGTCTTTGTTTGGATAGTGCAACGCCTGTGAATAAAGAGGAAGTCAAGCAGACGTTGATGCAGTTCTTTCGAGAATTACCCCAGGATGCGCGAGAGTATGTTGAGGAGATTGTGATGGAGGACCGTCATGGGTACTTGAGTCGAGAGGATTGTATGGCTGTTGACAACATGCAGCCAGCAGATGGATTTTTGGATCTGGATAAGGTGTATCAAATTGTCAATGACCCAGCTATCTTTGATGAACTCATGGCAATTATACAAACAAATACAGCAAGGGGTGTTATTTGGTCACAGACAATTCAAGAGATTTACGAGCTGGTGGCGACAAGGGGTATTTGGGAACAATTAGCGCCCTTGTTACAGCAAGTGCAAGTCAAAGCAGGTAAAACATCGATGGAGAGGTTCAACATTGACTCGGTACGGCGAAACTGATACATCCATAGATACAAACCAATATGACTCGTATGAGGATTATGTGCAAAAGAACTTTTTGGATAATGGCGGACAACAGTATTTGGATGATGAGATCAATCGTGCCCAAGTGGAGCATATGTTGGGCAATTTGACAATGTAATCAGGTGTATATTCAATGTGTAAATAAAGAAAGAGAGCTTCAAAAAGGCGTACAAGCGATACATGTGTTTTGTGATTTAATGAATACCAAAAATCAAATTATATTGATACTACTACCAGCAAATGGACCCTGGGGCAAATTGACGCTGTAATCCTTTGATTCTGCATGACCGTGAATGACAGTGATGTTGACTTGGGTCAGCAGTTGTGTTGGGTCAGATACTGTCAAGGTATACGATTGCTTTTCCATGGTGAAAAACGTTAAAATGGGCTGGTTTGTCTTTACACTGATACCCCAAGGCGTTTGATAGCTGCCTGCTGTCCAGAAGGCCAGTGCAATTGCCTTGTTTTTGACGTGATAAGCGCCTCGTATTTTGCCCAATGCTTGATCATCTTGGTAGACAAACTGAATAAGGCTTTCAGGAGCTTGCTCTTGCTTGGATTCCACATTCAATTGGGCAATGTAAGTGACAGGAGCTGCTGTAGTGTTATTGCTGCCTTCTACCAACGCAGCTGGAGGATGCTGAATGGTAGCAGTAAATATGGGCTGGGTCGCTTTACCTTGAGAAATGCCTATGGATGACCAATCGTTCACATCATGTGCTGCCGTGTTGATGCTTATATTAGGAATAGTCGAATTTGAATGTTGATCCAGTACTGTGTACAAGACGCGATTATGCCAGATGTTGATGTGTTTGCTCTTTCTGTCCTGAGACGCTGTGAACTGATTGACTGTTAGCTTCTGGTTATCAACATAGACATCGCCTTTGAGGTTGGACTGATCCAAGGTAGTAACAATAGGTGCTGTGCCTTGAGAGTATATGGGGCCAATTTGAACAGCATAGAAGCCAGGAAAGAAATAGAAGGTTTTTTCCCATCGCAAACTTCCCGTCATTGGGTTCAAGTACTGCATTACTGCCATACCGCCTTGCGACGAAGAACCTTCCTTGTTGCGTGTAACAGATCCAACGAACGTTGTGTTGCCGTAAAACTGTGTGATATTACAGCCAAAAGGCGTGGCGCCGTAATCCACAGTGGTGCCTGGGATCAGATTCCAATCGTACGAGGCAAACACATCAATGTACTCGTCACCATCGATATATGAAAAGATGGAGCCATCACTCAAGTGAAAGCCAAAGGAATTTTGGTCGTTGTTGCATTCAGAATTGGTTGTACGAGTAGAGAATGACTTTAGCGTTGTAACGTAGCTGGAGCTTCGGTGCACCAGATAGTCAGACGTGTAGAAGCTGCGTGTGCCTGAGAGTTTACCTTGGCCTTCTGATGACGATGATGATGGTGTTTTGAGGTCACTCAAGCGTTGTACAATGGATTGGATACTGGAAGCATTCTGCCATCCTTCTACAGCGAGTTGAATGCGGGTGAGATTCAGTGCAACGCCACCACTGGCCTGCTTATCCGCAGCCAAGAAGGATACCATGCGGCCAATGACACTGTACTCCCATAGCAGAGTGCTGTTGTGGTTGGATGATGATGCAGCATTGGCAGTGTGGTTGCTGATAATCATCCATTCAGTGCCATTGATCAACGTCAGGAATGCTGACTGAGATTCTGCAGGAGGTGCAAACGATGTGTTACTGGTCTGTATATAGGCTACCACGACAGAATTGATAAAGTCTTTCCCGTAATTGCCAGTGTAGAGTTGAGCGAAATGCTGCAAGTAGGAGCCATCAACCTTGACACCATCAACACCTGTGCCTGGTGTGATGGTGGTCTGATTATAAAAATGATTTAAAGCGTCTCTGGCAAGCGTTTCATTGTCTGTCAGTAAGCCAAGGTTCAAGACACTAGTGGCAGCATCCAGCATATTGGCGCCTGTCATGGGACCGATGCCCAGCACATCCGTGTCAATGCGATTATACACTCTTTGGCTGACAAGCGTACAGTTGCCTCGTTGCGTGGTTGTCAAGTTTGATTTGAGCAAGACACAGGTATTTGATATCAATTTAGGCATCAAAATCATCTAATTATAGAGTAGTTTTTTTTTTTTTTTTTTTTTTGTTTTGTAAACATAATGTACATATATGACATGCTGTTAAGTCTAAATATACCTGACCAAACCAGTTTGTATTCCAAAATCCAGGTGTACCGCATGGACATTCACTATTGGGTAATCCACCTTGATCCAAGCATGCATCTGGTGTGTAATTATGATCAAACCAATAGTCCATGGCCTTTGAAATGTAAGGCAACAATTGTGTGCTGTTGGCAGGATCTGCTCTATACTGACTTGCCATGGACACTGTACGCATATGCCAATTAGCGTGGTCTATTCCAAGCTCCCAATTCACCACCTACCAATGCGTATAAAGTGTTGCTGTGCTGGCCAGTTGGCTCTTCGAGCTGTACATCCAGCAGTATAATCCACATCCGTCCAGGTACCATTTTCACTGGAAAACGTATTCAGCCATGTTGGAATTTGGATACTGTTGCTGCTATAATCTTGAATGATGAAATCCACTTTTCGATCGTACAACGTCTTTAATTCCTCAGGAGAGGCAATGGCCAGAGATGGCAGGATGAAAATCAACGGCCAAAGCGTACGCAGTATGTTCATGGTGTATTGTAGAAAAAGAGAAAGGGAGAGAGAAAAGGCACAAAATGGAAAAAAGAGCTATTTATATCAGTTTGTGCAGGAGTCCCTTAATTTGAGGGCTCTTTTTTCAAATAGTGTCTGAGGAGGCTTGGAGAAGGTGTATCATCAGCATGAAACGCACACAAACAAACAAGATTAGGTTAGTTGCATAAAAACTGAACAGTGCGACCAGTGGGTTTGCCTTCAGCATAAATCTGGTGCTACATATATACACTGGGTATTATGCCGCCCCCCTTAAACTTTATTGAAGAACAAGACACCTGGTTCTTGAGGTAATAAATAGACGATACCATAACTTGCACCAGCAGCAATAGCACCAATTAATAATGTTTGAATAGCACCCCAAACAGCACCATTTGGATTCACTAGTCTACTCTTGATGTAACCAAACACCAGCAATGTCAAGAATGTCACAGCGACAGAGATATAAAGAGCGTAGATCGAGTCGTCAAAGAAACAGTAAGGTAACAATGGGATCAAACCACCAATAAAGTAGGATAAACCAATGGTCAATGCGGAAATCTACAACATAATGAGCATTGTTTCTATTTTCACCCCAGATCTCACTACTACTACTACTACTACCTACCCAGCTACGGCGAGGATCAGGCATCTCCAAATTCAACTCGAATTTCATCATGAAATCAACAAACTTTTGAGGGTCGCTCTTGAGCTTCTCAATCAGAGGTTGAATGGTGTCTCTGTCCAATCCGTAAGGCTCCAAAATATCCACAATTTCGTCTTCCTCATCTTGTGGGCACTCCTCTACCTCACGCTCCTCTCTTTGGCGTTCAGTGCGGTAATGATCAATCTCTGATCTCGCAGCCAAGTAACCGCCCAAACCCATTGAAATAGCGCCACTAAAGCAAGCAGGCACCTCAGCATACATGTTGCATACACACATATGAATGAACACTATTTACCTTACAAGTTCTATACAACATGTCAATGCCATGAGTTGACTTGTTTCAAAATCTCTCTCTCTCCAAAAATGACTTACCAGCAGCACCACCATAAATGACAATCTTTGAGCTACCAAGCGAGGAAAGGCCAGCAGCCAAGGCAAATGGCACAGTTAAGCCATCTTTGTTCATCATGTCAGTCCATCCAATTCGACTCGTATTACATTTGTTACTCACCAGAAAGACCAATGATGGTATCTCTTACAATTTCGGCAGATTCAAAATGTTGCTCCAAATGTTGGTAGGGCGCATATTCATGTGAATGACGTCTTCGAAGTTTATTGATGATGCTTGACATTGTTTCGAGCAAGTTTATACAAACAAAAAAGAAAAAAGCGAGAAAGAAAAAAAAAAAAAAAAAAAGTTAAAATGAAATGAAATCTATACCTTGATTGGGATAATGATGATGAAGATAATTTTTGGTAGGAGTAGCAAAAGAGCTTAAAAGAGACGACCGAAGTAGCGCGACATGAAGCCAATTAGATATCGTGGTTCTTTTGTCATATCTCTATCATTATCTCGATGTTTGCTGCATATCATAGAGTGCTTACAAAGAGGCCCATCCTGATTCAAAGTGTATCCACAGGTACGGTAATGGATGTCGCTAGTAGAGGCATGGATATGACTAATGTCTTTTTTCTTGTTATAGCTGTCTTGTTTGGTGCTGGTAATTTCAAGCTGAAAAAAAAAATGCAACCATGGTTAGATGAACCCTTTTTTTTTTTTTTTTTTTTTTTTTTTTCCTTTTAGGCGATGTCATTGCACAGCAATTTGTAGAGAAACAAGGCTGGGATAAGCATGATTTTACACGCACATTTAGAATGACGGCCTTTGGTGGTGTTTTCGCTGGTCCAGCACTGAGCAATTGGTATCGATTTATTGATAGAAAAGTTGCTACAAAGAATGCGTTTCAAGGTGGATATGTGGTATCACATTGGTTTGTGTAATCTATACTAAAGTATCTCTCTTAGGTTTAGCCACCAAAGTAGCATTAGATCAATTCGTCTTTGCACCCTTCTTTATCGCAGGTAAACAAGATGTATAGCTCTGCCACATGTTATTGAGCTTCACTGATGCATCAAGTTAGCCTTCTTTACCGGTCAAGGCATTTTTGAGGGCAAATCACTGCAAGAGATCAAAGAAAAGCTATCCAGTGGGTATACGACTGCGCTTATTGGTAATTACAAGGTAATACTACATGTTAAGTGTCTGTATGAAAAGCCATGTTTATTTATTATATAATGTATGTGTGTATGTGTGAAGATTTGGCCAGCAGTTCAAGTTGTCAACTTTTATTTCACTCCGTTGAATTATCGACTCATGGTAACAAATGTGGTTGCTTTAGGCTGGAATGCGTATCTCTCGACTGTCAATCAGCGATCCTCACATTAGAAGCCCCTATTTTTTGTTGGCTGGCATTTCTGCAATGCCTGCACCGTTGATTTCAGGTACACCAATTTTGATTTCTTTAAATTTCACAATGCCTCTTGTTTTGATCTACTCCAACGGTTAGCAATAAACCTCTATCCCATATACCCACTGTTTACTTGCCTTTCCGCCCAAAAGCCCAACTGCAGTACCACAAGGTGCTGATAGTCCCTTGAGCGCTAAATCAGCCGTACTTGTATCCACAAGACGTTTGAATCTGTCTTCACACATGGGACATTTATACTTTGCGTCTTCATCATCGCACAAAACTTGATATTTCTCGGGTGTCAATTGCTCATCACAGCGTGTATGGACCCAATGATCGCATGTATCACAAGCAACCATTTCATTGTCCTCATCGTCGTTTTCTTCTTCCTCAGAGTACGTCTTGAGACACACGGTGCAGAACCGGTCGTCTTTGAAATTACCGTTGCATTTGGGACAGTAAGTGGCCAAATAGACGGGATACTTGTAGCGGTCGCTTTTGGGTGCTATCGCATGTGTGTATTGTGATTCTTCTTCCATGCCATGTTCACCACAGCTATGACATTTGGCACAGAATTGGCAGAGCCATGATCCTTCAGGCACATTTTCCACCTTGGGATCACAGCTGATAAAAGTGTGAGTTGCTACTGTGCATAATATACTGGTTGACAACAACTTACCATCCAGTATGCCATCCTCGATCACATCCATCACAAATCATCAGTGTGGATTCATCACCAGCACTCTTACACACACAGCAAATCTTACATTCAGGGCAAGACCATGGGTAAGACTCTACCGCTGCTACTTGTAATGGCGTAGTTAGATTGGCGCACACAGGGTGATACTTTCGAGTACATTTGGAACATTTGATCACGGTGAAATCATCAGTGACATGCTCTTCGGGTGAATTGAACAAGGATTCGGCTGCTTTTAATTGGTGACAGTCTGCGCACTTGTTATCAGAGTAGACAATTTGCTAGATGGGATAGGAATACATGAGCAAGTGGACCTCTTATCAACATTCTCTGCCACACTTACCGGCGGAGGTCCCTTGGCAAAATCAGACATTTGTTTAGGTGATTGATGAGCAGAACATTTTTCTCCTGGCTTGTTGACTGGATTTCTGCACATTTGGTTGCCTGGAAGCATGGTTCGGCACATGGGTGGTTCTGGTGTCACGACAGGCATGGTCATTCTGGGTGGCTGTAGTTGCATTTGTTGTGGCGATGGTTGTGGTTGCATGGGTAGTGTGGGTTGAACAGGAGGTGTATGTTGAATTTGTGGTTGCTGTGGTGGTGGGGGAGCAGGTGAATAACTCTGTGGTGATCTGCCCATGGGTGATTGTCTGGCTGGATCAGCGAATTGATTGACGGACTGATACACCAAGCCCAGATAGAATTGTTGAGCGGCCAAGGATTGTGCTGTGTCTACCATGTCAGTCGGATCAGGTACTTTGGGTGTAGGATAGTTGAATCGTGCTTGATGTCTGTTCTAGTTTGTCAGTATATATCTTTATCAATACTGCAAAAACTCACATTGGGAACTGTGCTTGAAATTGTCCTTCCATGATGGCTAATGGATACCTGTCATCGTCATTTGTATCCAAAGCTTTCACTTGTTGGTCGTTTGTCAACACTGCTCTGAGTTTGTCCTTTTCCTCTGCTGACCCTGGGTACGCTTCCACAACAGCATCCACATTGCAGTCCAATAAAAACTTTCCAATGCCACGATAAACGGGTGCCTTGGTAGCTGCGGTGGTTGCTACTTGAGCGTCAAACTCGACTAATGGTGCTGCCGCGCTGTCTCCCTTAATGAGCTCGAATTTGCATGATGTAGATTGATACGAGGCTGGCACCTGATTGATGTTGGAATGAATATCGTAAAAGGTAGGCTTAGCGGCTCGTCTTTCGTGTAATTGAGCGTTGAATCCTCTCGCTGCCAAAGCGGCATGATGCATCCAAGTTTGATTTGTAAGTGGTGCTTTTGATGCGTATCCTTCTGATCTTGCTGTCTTGCCAATCAATGATTTACGAGAACCGTCGTTTTCCTCTTCCTCTTCGTTACTGGTATGCGTTCCATTGCCAAACATGGATGAACTAGAAGCAGCAGCAGTACCGTCACTGGAGGATGCTTGCTTGCGAAGATGTGCTGATTGTCTGGTTGTTGCTTTTTCTTCTGGATGTCCGTTTTCGTAATAATCATCTCGAATGCGTCTACCACGTTTGATGATCTTGTGTCCAAAGCATTTGAATACGGAACGAGCAGTAACAACAGCGACATCACGATGCTTGAACCATTGCACCACCAGGCCCATATCTTTCAACATGGCCTTTTCTTCGTCATTGATACGAATACGCTTCAATAGGGGGTGTTTGTGAAAGAAGAGATAGCTATCACGATAGCCTAGTAATTTGGTGCATTCCATTGCCAGCATGAGTAATTGCTCACCATGATTGGGTAGTGTAAATGTAGAAACCTTGTACTCACGACCTGTCTCAAGTATGATAAGTATTCTCTTCCATTGAGCTTTCAAAGAAAAACTCTGATTTACCTTCTAATAAATGGCCTTGACCATCTACTTTGGTTTCACCAATGTCATCCCTATCTGACTCTACATCATTCTCATCACCCAATGCAGAGACTGGCTTCTCGTCTTGCTGGCCCACATCAATTTCCTCGTCTTCGTCTTTCTCCTCCTCTTTCTCTGCCTCCTCTTCATATTCGTCTGATACTGGAGATTTGGGACCTGTCGTTGTACGACCACTTTCGCGCTTTCGTTTCGCGTCATTTTCTTCATGAACGGCTGGATAGTATGTGCTTGGTCTGCCTCTCTTTCTAGATGAGGAGCGCGTTGTTGGCTCAGGGTCAGGTGCGCTGGTGGATTTTCTAGTGCTTTGTGCAATCCTTGAACTGGATTTTCTAGTAAACAGTGGTGGTGGTGGTGTTGTGCTGGTTTCTTTGGCATTGACTGGTGGTCTGCCCCTTTTACGTTTTAAGGCCTCTGATTCAAAAATAAAAAAGAGAGATTTATCAGCACAGAGCGTATTTACAAGTGATCAACAGACTAGATTGTATACCTTTAGGTGGCATGATGGAAACTATGAATGAAAAAGAAAAAAAAAAAGAAATGGAGTGGTGAAAAAATCAAGTCGCTTAAAAATCTCAGGAATGTCATTCACACAATAAGACTCCAAAGTCACAAATCAGAAGGGTATTGCACTGTAAATTAGAGTAGCAAGTTATACTCTTTAAGCAGGATGAGCTTTTCCTTTGACCTTGATAAGGTCAAGCATATTGAGTTGCACTTGATATGTGTTCTGACATTCTGGATTTGGTAAATTCTCGAATGTTAGATCCTGAGAGCCCAAGGCAAACTGCACTTGTATATCCAGAACCTGATATGCGGCAAAAGATGGAGATTTATGGACAAAGAAATATATTGTAGTGCCACAGGGGAAATCTTCAGACATTTTGTAAGTATAGGACTATAAAGAAGCTGGATAAGACCATGCTGATCTCTAATCTTTACGGATGCTTAACGCTTTGATTCATAGATTACTTGTGATGATAAAAGATGCAATCCCATTTATAGCAGCACGTACAACGACAAAAGATGTGGTCGTAAGGTTACGATGGCAAGCATTGTCAAAAGACAGATCTTTGAACAGTACTATGTACAAATTAAGTATTCTAGTGTATTGAATAAAATGCTGTGTATGCAACGTCTAAAACTTATCTCTTGTCGAGAAAGTCGGCGTGGCGCATACTAAATGTTTTGCCATCGACTTAGTAGAGAGCATTTGTTGTATCGTAAATCGTAGTATGGTCTTACATCGTAGGCCATGCGCTATTCTTAGAATTTCCTGGTAGTACCGTAATGAGCGATTGATGAACGGAAGCTATAATGATTATCTAGTCTTAACAGCAAGATTTACTGACATGTCAAGTTCTTATCGACACCTTGAAATCGACACGATCTCAAGCTCAATACTGGACGTACATCTTTAGGCTAACATTCTCGCCTTGTCATTTTCTCAACTTGGAACTTGCGAGTTCCTACTGGCTCAACACCATTACGATGCATATTTGCGCCTTTTAGTCGCTCGACCGTATTCTTTTCGGCGGCAACCATTGCTCAAGTACGTAGTTAGATTGCAAATAATAAAAATGCGCATCGAATGGTATTCTTCTAGATAGTTATCCCGCAGCTTCTATTCAGACAAGCCAGTCTTTCATTTTTTTGAGGCCTTTCAAAGAAACGTATCTCTTTAAATCTGTAACACTTTACCTATAACCATACTCATTGAATAGACCTATGCTTTACCTATTGTTTAAGGTCTTACTCACATCCGTAGTAATATCAGTTCTTATGAATCTACAGCACCCTGTATGCTAGCCCTCGCTAAATTGTTGAACAGTGACCGCTCAAGTCTAACTTTTGCTACAGTGGTGCATGCAAAATTCTTTGTTAGTTGTCTGACAGAGTCATTTAACTCATAATATAGCCAGTTTCTGCAAAGAGGTTGCAAAGGTGAATCAAGTCGGTAACTTAATCATGCATTTCCAGTTGTTGAGGAAAAGGCACTCTTTTTAAGCATAAAATATTGAATTATAGCTCCCAACAGTAAAATGATTGTTTAGTGGCGGGATGACCAGAATACACCTATTATACTATTTATACTGTATAATTTCACCAGGACATAAATTAAATGACAAACGTGGTAAATTAGCACCTACTATCAAAGAAGATGAAGATGAAAAAGATGTCAATGAAGCTTGATTTCTATTAATTATCTCATCAAACTATGTAGTAGACGCCAGATCAAATTACTGTACTTCATCTTATACTTTTGAATAACGAAGAATATAAATTGTTTCTGTTTGGATACCCATTTATTACAAAAACACAAACCATGATAAATGACAGATTAATCGGAGATCAACTAACTATAACCCTTCGCTGTTTCAACCTCTTAGCCAATCAGATTGCTTGAAAACTCCGTTGACCTAAAAAAAAATTTGCGAGGGTTTCCCTCTGTTTTGATGTGAGGCAAAATTTTAAGCTCAGCTATATATAGCAATATAGCCGTTGCTATCATCAAACTTCCCTCAGGTGCTAGAGCATGCCTTACTTACACCACCTAGCTTTTAGATTCTAGCGTTGAGACTCTCAATCATCACTAAAGTAAGTAGCGATAACCAAATGGAGGCAGCCTATCCATCTCCTAGTCTCGGATAAAGTCTTGTTGAGCTTCAGCGATAGGCACATCCACCACAACGTAATAATGTATGCTTCAAAGAAACATAATAAAAGAAAAAAGGAACAGAAGAAAAGAACATGCTACAGTAGTACTACAGGAGTACTACAGGAGTATGAAGGCAAAAAAGAAATACTCATACGCAATGAGTCAAAGAAAAGCATAACAAACACAACATCAGAGAATGTTCAGAATAGCTTGTTGTTGTTGTAACAAGAATGCATACATGAGCAACGTGCATGGCAATAATCGGATGTAGAGCAACACAAACACGTACAATTGCAGGAGCAACAGCAGTATTATAAGTGTACAATACAACATAATGACCAAATGTTGTTTCATGTGATGAAGCCACAGAGGCAACACAAATAACAACCCACGGCCATATAACATAGTAGTATTACAGCAGCAATACAGATATATAGCAGCACATCATGCTTGTTGTTCGTACATACGAAGCAACAACATTGTAAGCATCCGTTGAGCTGATCGTATCACAGCCAACAAAAGAAAAAAAAAGCGCAGCAAAGAAAACCTCATGAATGCATTATCATGAGAAAGGAAGTAATAACAAAAACGTCCAGAGAAGCTTTATGTCATTACGACCAGAAGAAAAACAATACTTACCACTTACCACAGCCACAAATAGACCTGAGAATACGAAGCCACCGGAGATATACCAGAGAACGAGCATACACCACAAATAGTAGACCAAAGGAGACCAGACTAGCAGCAGCAATACCATCAGCAACACCAGCAGCAACACCAGCAGCAACACCAGAAGCAACACCAGAAGCAACACCAGAAGCAACACCAGAAGCAGCAGCAGCATAGAAAACCAAAGAACGGGCGACACCAGAGACCAGACAAAGATTAAAGAAGCAACTACCAGAGATAGAAATCAAAGAAGCAATCACCAGACAGGGTAAACCAAAGAAGCAGGCAGTAGAAATAGCAGAGAAGTAACGGCAGCAGCACTCACGTCAAAAAGGCAAAAAAGTTATCAAAAACTAATAAACAAATTCGATTAGTGCTGATTTTACGTATTCCAGTGCTCGCTATTGAATAGTACCTACTATATTCCACTTCGAAGAAGCAGTATCAAGTACTTTTAACAATGCAAGAACGTGTTATCAAAAGCTAGAGTGTTATTTTCAATCAAAAGAGTTCCAAAACCAATATGATTCGATACTAAACGCGTTTTGCAAAAGGGAGGAAAAACGGGGGAATGGAAAAATGGGAGGGCGCCATATTCGACGTCACAGCCAGTAGATTTGCTCTCAGTCTTCTGCCGTGGCAGCCGTAACTGCTGTACTTTAATTTGAAATTGTGCAGTAGGTATTTTCGTGTTCAAATTTGACTCGACCTTACATTCTTTGAACGTTTTTGCTAAATTTGATTATGAAAATTGTCGTTGCTATACTTTACTTTCTAATGCATCTATATAGAGTCAATGAAGGCACATCGAATGATGCTGGTTACATTCATCTTTCAGGCCGAATATAATGAGCAATGTTCAAAAATATGAAAACAGGGTTTTTGCGAATATGTCAGAATTTAGCATATAAAAGTTCCAGAAAAAGAGTTTCCGGTGTTGCATTTCATCATTACGATCAATTTGATCTAATACGTATCATAGAAAAATCTTTGTTTTTGGGGTGAAAAACGCGATCGTTTGATTTTCAAGAATTTTGCCTTGCTAATACTCATGAAAAAAATGAGGATTTTTCGTGGATTTGCAATGAACAAAAAAATTTTGAAAAAAAGCATCAGTTAGTCAAACGTGGCTAAAAAGGTACGTTTGGCGCTATTCCAAGCGTCCACAATGCTTTGTAGCATGAGTTATTCAAGCTTCAAAGTGGCTAAGTTTGAACAGAATTTGGTCTAAAAATAGGACAAACTGAGGTTTTCTGCCAAAAAAAACTATGTAAATTACAGCTCTGCTTGGTGATATAGATGCTCTGCGTTGTACGGAACACAATTTCTAAATAATAGACACTTTTATTCTAACTCTGAGGCTCAGGTCTTTCTTTTTGAAATGCATGAATACAGTAGTTTTATACCTTGAGCATCACTGATATTATGCAAAATTGAAACTAGCAAATTGCACGGTTTGAACCCGATGCTCATCAGGTCAGCAAGACACTTTTGACTGTCGTCCACATTGTAAGTGCCGTATTTAGCCGTAAAACTAAGCACATCCACGACTTTAAACACTCATCTTTATTAAGGTGAGATGACTGAAAAAACTGGATAGGCTGAGTCGTTGTCAGCACAATGGGGAAGCAAACAACAAAACTTTGTATCAAAGTTAAACGATTAGATATTCATGATACCTACAAATCCTGTGATACAAGATTCGACACCAGGATACCACAGTGGAATTGTGTTTAAATGGTTCACGGACCTACAATGCCTAAAAGGCAAATGATCCAAAATCAATCGCTCAAACATTATTTTCCACTAGAATATACTGGCGTATGTTGCATGTAAGCATGCATCTTAGGGTACATTCACTTTCTGCTCAAGCCACTTTTTACACTGTAGCAACATAGATGATGTTTATCGTATCACATCACATCTATGTTTACAAGTCCAGTCAACTGTGTGTGCACGGGCGCCTCAGGAACTACAATAGATTCAATCTCCTTAATGTCAAGATGTCCAGATCCATCTACACTACATGAAACATATCGACTTAGGTAGCTTCTCAGCAAGCTATACTAACAATCCATAAGGCGCCAGTGGCCTGCTATTTATACGTAGACCATCTCAACGTGGTAGTCATTCACCAGAAATCTATCATATTTAAGCTAGTTAGATGCTCTGTAATAAACAAGCTCTTTGCTTTCGTTTCAAGTACAGTTGACAACTGATTATTATCATCGACTTTATTGTTACTGTAAAATTTGAGGCTTTATAGACTAAAATTCACGAAAAAAAAAATAAAAAAACAGTAAAGTCAACTTGATAAAGGTATGTTTTATTATCAAACTGACAGGTGTAAAGTAAAACTGAAGTCTCTCTACTGGCCAGGTAGATGATCCTTCTTATATACTATAACAATGGATAAAAGTTCTATTAATTAGATTGACAAATAAGTCAACTCAGATCAACTAATGTTTAATCATGCTTGTGGAAGACATCCACTATGATCTGCATTCCGACAGTTCATCCAGTTACCAGATTTAGATATAAACTGTATGTACACTGGATTAGATGTACGATATCGATTTATACTATGATCATGAGAAGATATGGACTTCAGATACGCTAGTACTATAAGATTCATACTATATAAGATATAGGCTATAGATGGCACCACGGACATGGATGGCACTATAGACTTATACTTGTATTCCGACATTGACTACGGATGTTTACCATATCTGGATAGGCACCAAGATTAATGCAATATGAGCTTGTTGCTTCAGATGTGCACTTCATGATCCACGCTATAAGACACATGCTTATATCCGTGATACTAGCTACAGATACTCTATGTACTACAGACTTGTACTATATATGAGACATGCTATAGACATGCATACGATATGCTATAGACATGCCATATATCCAGATACATGCTAAAGATGTATGCTTAGCGATATACACTCAGATATGTACTATTAATATAGACTAAGAAGACTGTACCTATCGGATACATGCTACTAGATCGATATTAATTATCCTTATGGAAAGGATAGATCAGGGTACTTCGGATGAGAGTCTAATTATTCATCCAGACAGAGCTAAATCATGATTAGCTTGCTGGAGTTGTCTTTTAGCATGATTAGACATTAGTTGATCTGAGTTGACTTATTTGTCAATCTAATTAATAGAACTTTTATCCATTGTTATAGTATATAAGAAGGATCATCTACCTGGCCAGTAGAGAGACTTCAGTTTACTTTACACCTGTCAGTTTGATAATAAAATATACCTTTATCAAGTTGACTTTACTGTTTTTTTATTCTTTTTTTTCCGTGAATTTTAGTCTGTAAAGCCTCAAATTCCACATTTTTTTCAACTCAAAGGTTATCACTTTTACACTTTATCTTATACTCTACATTTTATTATTCTACTTTAAAAACTATTTTTATCATGTCTCACAACCAATACAACGCTACCGAAAACACTCAAGAGGATATTGCTCAAGATTCTATCCGTGTTTCTTCTCCTTATGACTCATCTATGCAAGTGGATGAGCACGCTCAACTTTCTGCAGTTGATCATCTTCTCAAGAAGATTGACACTGCTCAGGCTCGCTTGGATCAGATCCATCGTAACGCTGGTGATACTTACACTGAGGAAGAACGCTTGGCGGCTGATGAAGCATCTGCGTCTATCGAATGGCTCAGCAAGCAAGTCAATGCGATTACTAAGAGGGCTGATTCCAAAGCTAGACCTGTCAATCTCAATGAGATCCCCCGTTTCCAGGTGGTAGGACAAGCTAAGCATTGGCCTGACCATCCTCGATTCACCACAGTCGATCATTTCTTCAGTGCTTTTGAGAACGTCATCAGAGCATCCGGTAATGAAGTAAATTTGGTTTGGAAACGCTACGTGCCTGTTTCACTGCCATTTGACTTCGAATCATGGACCAAGAATGATCTTCTGGCATGTAATGATTGGGATCAAGCCAAGGCATTGTTCCGCAAACATTTTGGTGCTCCCATCAACTCTGAGGAATCCATGGCCAAACTCTTCAGCATGCGCATGAAGAACAATGATACTCTACAGGACTATACGAATAAGTTCATGAAGTACGTCAAGGATTGTGGCTTCCCTCCTAACAGCAACATGTTAGCCAAGTTCTATCAGTTCACGCTGTTACGCAAGAATCAGCAAATGATGGTCAACCAAATGTCCGTCAAGCATGGTTCCAACCACAAATGGACTATCAACGAGATCTATGAGTGTGTGTTGCCTTTGTTCCTTGTTGACGAGCAAAATCGTGGTGATGATGATGTTGAGGTCGACATCAGAGGTAAGCGTAAGGGTGGTTCAGGTGGTTCTGGTTTGAGAACAAAGATGGCAAGGGTATCTGCCACTGGGTATTTCTGTGCGAAGCATGGCGGGAGCAATGCCAACCACAACACCATTGACTGTAAGTCAAGATTGAAGCACTTTGGCTCTGACAACAAGCCTAACCGGGCTACTACTGCTGCTCCGTATTCTATGAATTCCTCATCCTCTGATCCCAAAACCTGCAACTTTTGTGGTAAGCCCCGTGCTTACGGTCATCGTTGTCAAGAGTTCTACGACTGGAAGAAGGAGAGAGAATCAAGGAAGAACATTGGTGTGCATACTGTACAAACAACCACTGTTCGCAAGGACAACAAGTCTGGTTCTGGTTCTGAGACCAACGATGTTACCATGGAAAGTAGCACTGATTCTGACATTGGTGATGCTGTTGGAGATGTCACCATGGAGGAAATAGATGCTTGCTTGGACGAGATTGAAGCAGAGGATGCCTCGCTCAACTGTAAGTCTAATGTGAAAAATGTACCTGAAAGTTTCAATCCATTTCAGTTACTGACTCCTATTATTTTAGAGAGCAAAGAAGGAAAACCAGTCCGTTTGATCGCGAAAGTAGATACGGGATCAGATTCCACCTTCTTAAATAAAAACATTTTTCACAATAAACTACTATTCACTTCCCAAGATATTATTTCTGTTGAAGGCAATTTGAACTTTCTGAGTCATTCAGTAAAGAGATTGGGTAAAACACCAGCTATCAAGATAAGATATCTTAATGACATTTCATTTGATCACTCGTTTGAGCTATCCAATTTTATTCAGGACCTAGGCGATTTTGATGTGCTACTGGG